ATTTTTCAGACTTTCCGACCAGTTCTGTGAACTTAATAGACATGTCATTACTTCTGATTTTGCGCTGTAAATCATTTTTTTTTGCCACATCGACTTCTCCGCGGCTATTAGCTCCCTCCATCACTGCTCTTTCAATTCCGGCGGTAAGCCGTGACAAAAAGCACTGATGGCTTCTGGAATGGCTGGGTCGTGTAGTTATTTTTTAATTTCGCTACATTTTAGGCGTATTAAAAGGAAACTACAAAATGGTGCATTTACTTTTTTCTTTTTTTTTTGTCGTCTTTGCTATTGGTTGATTCCCGCTCCCGTCTGCTCCCGTTAACCATTTATCCTGTACCGTCCAAATCCCGTGATTAATAGCAAAGATGACTCCCATCCTGCGGGAATCCCACGGGAATCCCGGGACCCGTGGGATTCCCGAAAAAATGTCAGCCTCTAGCATGTGTGTGTTGTGGTGTTTAGCTGGCCAAGAACGTGGGGAATGCTGGATTTAATGAGATCATGGAAGCTTGTCTGACGGCAGAAGACGTGATCAAACCAAACCCAGCCAGTGACATGTAAGCCAAAGTTTCTCTTTGGGAATTTATCATCACTGATGTTGTATTTTTATGCAAATTAATTCTTGTTTAATTTCCTTTTAATGCCTCAGGCAGGCGAGGAAAGACTTCATCATGGCCAAGTACACGGAGAAACGCTTTGCCCGTAAGAAGTGCCCCGACGCGCTGTCGAAGCTGCACACGCTCTGTGATGCCGTGAAGGCCCAGGACATTTTTTCTCTCATTCAGGTCTACGCTGAGGGGGTCGACCTAATGGAGCCGATTCCTCTGGCCAATGGCCATGTGAGTCTGTTACTATCTTTCCTCAGATTTGATAGGATTTATTCAATTACTTCCTTTACAAACATTTACCATGGTAATCATAGTTTGTGTTAAAATACCAAAATAAAATAATAAAAATAATAATTAAATGTCTTTTTTAACACTTAGAATTTTATTTCAATTAATATAAATTAAATCCACATTTAATGCTAAACCACAGGTGAAAAAAAATAAATATATATATATATATATATATATATATATATATATATATACTGTATATAGACAGTCGTGGTCAAAAGTTTACATCACCTTGCAGAATCTGTAAAATGTTCATTATTTTAACAAACTAAGAGGGATCATACAAAATACATGCTTATAACTTAATACATTTTTTGTCTCGTTGACTATATGTAAACATATAAACTTATGACTAAGAAAAATAAATGTTTACATTTTTAAAAAATAAAATATATTTAATTAATAAAAATGTACTTGTGTTTTATATTTACATTTGGTCCCTTACTCATTTATCATTAAATTACAGTAGTTTTTTCCTTTTAGTTTTTTTATGTGGATTTATCTAATATATTGGCATTTGAAATAAAATAAAATATTGAAGTACTAATATATATATATATATATGTGTGTGTGTGTGTGTGTGTATAATATTGCCCTATATATGTATATGTGTGATTTTTGAGTTTAATAAATATTTTTGTTTCACATGAATCATCAACATCATTCATTAACCATTTCAGTCATATTCGCCATATGCGAGAGACTGTCCATGTATTTTCTTGTGGATGATATTTCCGGTGTAGGTCGCCAGGTCTTTCCCCAACCCTCCCCATCATGTGACTCACACACACACAGACACATTCACACTTACTAGGGACAATTTAGCCTCTCTAATTCTCGCATACTGCATGTGTTTAGATTGGGGTAAACCCAGCCAGACACAAGGAGAACATGCAAACTACTACATAAAACTGAACAGACTATAATTTCACGAAAGATTACATAAGTGTTCTGTATGGTTAATTGGCCCAAAATATCATGGTCTATTCAGTCAAGAGTGTCTTTTAAGCTACTGTATAAACGTCATGTTGTTTGTTTGTTTTGTGTGGTAGGAACAAGGTGAGACCGCCCTTCATCTGGCCGTGAGACTGGTGGACAGAACCTCCCTTCACATCATAGACTTCCTCACCCAGAACAGGCAAGACTCAGACAGCCGAGCAGAGGCTGGAAAACATCTTTCCCGAATTTATTTCCCCTCTTTGCTGACTGATGCTACCCAACAACTAAATCTGAATGAACGGCTTTTTTTGCCATTGATTTGACCAAAGCTGTTTAAAAGCGCCGATTTTGAATGTTAAACAGGCAATTATAGCTGTGCCTGGAATGGAAAAATTGAGATGTAATGTTTTCTAAACAGGCAAAATTGTGTGTTTCTACCCTCAGTTTAAACTTGGATAAGCAAACGGCTAAAGGAAGTACAGCGCTGCATTACTGCTGCCTGACGGACAACAGCGAGTGTCTCAAACTTCTGCTGAGAGGAAAAGCCTCTATAGACATCGGTATGCAGCAAATCAAATCTCTCGTAGTCCCTGTTGAAACAGGAAGTTTGGGTGTGACATATCAACGGGGTCCCTTTCATGATGTTTTTTAGGAATTACCAGGATCCTTGATTTGTCTGATGGCACTTTTCAGGATGATGTTCTCACACATGTTCTTATTTTGACTGCTGGGAAAGTTAGCGTGGTGATTTGAACCAAGAATAGGACGAAAAGATAACAGGGAGTCATATGTGGCCTAGCGGTTGTGCGTGTGTGCATGTGGGTGGGTGAATCTGTGCCAGGGAATCTCCTCTCAGATCCCTGCCAGCGTCTTTTGTGAGCAAGCTGTCTGGATCGACTTGGCTTTGTCTGGTCTGTAAAGTCAAATTCAGCACAGGAAGCCAAGAGTACAGAATGTGTTGGGAACCTCATTGTTTCCATCTTGGCGACTGTGATGCTTTCTAAAATGTATCAAACCAGTGTATCCTCCTCTTGAAATGTGTTTCTGTGTATATTTAGCTAATGAGGCTGGCGAGACCCCGCTTGACATCGCCAGGCGACTCAAACACCTGCAGTGTGAGGAACTGGTGAGCTGTCATGTTGTACACGCAAAGTTCTTGTAGTTTAATATGCGAGATAACTGGCCCGTAAGATGTTGTTTATGGGATGCTCGGCTCTCTTTAGCTGAACCAGGCACTTGCAGGGAAGTTCAATGCTCATGTGCATGTGGAGTACGAGTGGAGACTTCAGCATGAAGACCTGGACGAGAGTGATGAAGATCTGGACGAGAAGGTGAGGAAAACTCCTGAAGGAAAAGTATTTTGGTTGTGTTAGATTTTGCTCGACTTATATAGACCATTTCACAAGATGTAAACAACACTGGTCCAGAAGCACTTCCTGTTTCAGTTTTTTAACACTACATAAAAGCTGGGATAAAATACAACCGACAGAACATTTAAAAATGAATCAAAAAGTTAAACAAACATCTTTAAGATGTTTTTTTTACATGTGAAATAAAGAAAACAGTTACAAACTGAAACAGGAAGTGCTTCTGGACCAGTGTTGTTTACATCTTGTGAAATGGTCTATATTTGTGTGTATATGTGTTGATATTTAGTAATAGCTAATGCCTAATTTAGTGTGTGTAGATATTTAGTTTCCATTTAAATAGTTATTGTAGCAGAGTAGATTAAAATATCATAAAAAACAATCAAAGCATGTTTTCAATGCTGTTTTAAAAGGGTAAGTTCACTTTTAAAAAAACTTTTGCTGATAATTTAATCGCCCCCATGTCATCCTTGTCTTTCTTTCTTTAGTCGAGAAGAAATTAAGGTATATAATGCATTTTACTGGTAACCAAACGGTTCAAGGTCCAAAAGACAGTTTCATTGCAAACTGTTCGAAGGGCTTTAAACAATTCCAGACGACGAATAAGGGTCTTATCAAGCGAAACGATCGCTCATTTAAAAAAAACAACAACAAACAAACAAAGTTTAAGTTTTATAAGCTCAAATGGCCGCCTTGCTCTGTTCTGTGATGCGCATTTGTGACTCTCCTGTTTGAACTGGTTCATCAAAATGAACTAATCTTTTTCTGAGTCCATTCGTTCATTTCGTTCGTTGAATGAACCAAATGACACGAAAAAAAGATTCTTCATTTTGATAAACGAGTTCGAACAGGAGAGTCACAAACGCGCATCACAGAACAGAGCAAGGCGACCATTTGAGCTTATAAAACGTAAACTTTTTTTTTTTAAATGAGCTATCGTTTCGCTTGATAAGACCCTTATTCATCGTCTGGGATCGTTTAAAGCCCTTTCCCAGTAAAAGTGCATTATATGGAGAAAAATCCTGGACTGTTTTCATCAAAAACCTTAATTTCTTTTCAACTGAAGAAAGAATGACATGAATATCTTGGATGACATGGGGGTGAGTAAATTACAAGCAAAAGTTTTTTGTTTTTTGTTTTTTTAAGTGAACTACTCCTTTAACTAAATGAACACAAGAAAGAATTATATTGGATTATATTTAATCCGTTTTCTTAGAGAGTTTGAACTGATTCCGCATTTCAAAGCGCATATTTTGCTGAAGTCCAAATATTAAATTGACCAAATAATAAGTGCTTTGTAATCATCTCAATTGTTAAAATGCTGATTAATTTAGGTTTTTCTTGCAAAATCTGTTGTGATTTCTTTTCTCTTTTTTGTTGAATATTCAATGTGCTTACTCAGTCCCACTTATGATATTTGTGTCTATAGTCCAGTCCTCACCGGCGGGCGAGAGGCCCATCAGCTGCTACACTCCGGGCAGTAACTCCTTCAGCCCAGTCTGGCACGAGACGCTCGAGAAATGGTCAAGACAAGCAGCGGTTCGTGCCCAACCTGGTCAACAACGAGACCTATGGGACCATTATCAACACCAACTCACCAGTCACCCTTTCCACTTCTGCTCCACCTCTACCACCCCGAAATTTAGGTACTTTACATTTCACTCAGATAAAGAAAAAAAACACTGATTGAGAGAAGAAAAAGTCCCGTTTTGTCTTCAGAATGCTGCCTTCCTTCTTTGTGGCATAGATTCAACAAGGTGCTGAAAACATTCCTGAGATTTCGGTCCATATTGATATGAATAGAATCACACAGTTGCACGTCCATGATGCGAATCTCCCGTTCCTCCACATCCCGAAGGTGCTATGGTGCTATTGGACTGAGATCTGGTGACTGTGGAGGCCATTTGAGTATAATCAACTAATTTTCATGTTTAAGAACAGTTTGAGAAGAGTTGAGATTTGTGACATTATCCTGTTGGACACATCCATGCTATCATGTTGTTTACACCAAATTCTGAATCAGGCGTTTTTTTTCT